ATATATATATATCTCCTCTGAAGACAATTAGTTCAAAATTGAACTGTCAGTAGAGAGTACAATTTGTATTGAAAAGTCTACTTAAATTGAGATTAAGACTTCTATTTTTTTCTCTCTAAATTTCACAGATAGTTTTCGTGAAATACTTGAATTTAGCGACGACTCTTTATATTCAATAAAAGCACTGCACTGCACTGCACAGTGCACACCTTGTAAAATTAAATTTAAAAATTTTAAATTAATTTAAAAAATCAAATAAGAATCAATGGAAGTGTTTGCGAAAACTGAAATGACTTCAGGAAAATTAAAAAGTTCCTTAATACCCAAAATTTCATATAAGCATCAGCCAAAAATACAGTTTGTTTTTTTGTGATTCCCTTAAAAATGTTTTCGGAATACTCGTCCTTTAAACGGAAACATTTTGATAAATGAAATTTCAATAAATCACTTTCATTTAAAAAAAATGTATTTTATTACTTATTCTCAAGTGTGATCAGAATTTAAAAAAGTTTTAACTTATGATAATGAAAAAAAATTTTAAATTACAGTTAATTTTTTTTAACTTTTTATAATAAACTTATTTAATATCTACATATAATTATATAACACAGTGTGGCCCATAAACCAGTGGAATAAGAAGACGACTGTTTAAAAATTGATATGTCCAAAATGTCATCTTTCTATTAGTTTTTTTAAAAATTTAATAAATTGCTTTGGAATGTACAAGCTGGAAATATTTTTAAACTCAGATTAAATTTAAACAAACTAAGGTCAAGCTTAAAAAATCTAAATAGTTATTCTTACCATGCATCATGTATCGTGGTACTAAGCTTAAACGAATCCATTTAAGAAATTCATGGGAACGAAAGTATTTTGAAAAAAAGTACATTAAAAACACCAGAAAAAAGTTCGGAATTTGTTTTAAGTCCTTTGATAACTAAGGTTAGTTCGTTAGTCATTTTTGAATTATAAGAACAGCATTAAAACTATTTTCTTCCATTTTTGGTCTTGATTAAGATTTTTTTCCTTTGGTTCGACTTCCTAAAAAAAGCCTTTAAAAGTCATGTCACCGTTAACAACTTTTATAACCGATTCTAAGGTCACGGACGTTTTCTAAGGGGGAGGGTAAGGGGGGCGTGTCACCAGGGTGGGCGGAGCCCAGGAAGTGGGAGGATGTGGGACCCGTGAAAGAGTTTCTAAAAAACTTGAGTATATGGAGAGACGAGATAGTGTTGGTAGCACCGGAAGTCTAGCCAGCGATTCCTCGGACAGGTAATATTTTTAGTAAAAAGAATATTTTTAGTAAAAAAAAATTCTGAATTTAAAATAAGTAAACTTTTTGATATAATTGTATTTTACCTTTTTTATCATTGTTTCTCTTTCAGAAGCGAGGTTGGTTCCCGAACTGTTTACAACTGTGATATTTGTATAAAAAGTTACAGCAGTAGCAGTAATCTAGCTCGACACAGACAATCTCACCGAACCAACCAAGGTGGGAAAAAATGCGCGAACTGTGCACGTGAGTACAGTAGTCCAGCCGCTCTTGCTATGCACATGCGCACCCACGGTGCAGGCTGCGAATGTCCTTTCTGTGGAAAATCCTTCTCTCGTCCCTGGCTGCTTCAGGGGCATATTCGCACACATACAGGAGAAAAACCATTTTCTTGTAATATCTGTGCAAAAAGTTTTGCGGACAAAAGTAATCTGAGAGCACACACACAAACCCATTCTGCTGATAAACCATTCTCCTGCACAAACTGCGGAAAAGCGTTTGCGCTGAGATCGTATTTGTCGAAGCATGAAGAGTCCAGCTGTCTAAAAAGCAAGACAAGAAAAACAAGATTTTCATCTGATCTCTCCTCTCCCTCTCCATCCTTTCCACTCTTCTCCCCCTCCATTCTCTCCCAGGCTAATATTGCAAGATTTTCTCAACCGAGCTTTTTCAACATAAAAACTGAAATTGACTAATTTTTGAATTTTTTTCCATTTAGAAAAAAGACCTTTACTTTTGAAGAATAAACATGTTTGTTTTTTCTTCTCCAGTAGTGTCAACGGGCTAGTGTTGAATATATCTTCAAGTATTATATTTCTATTTATTTTTATATATTTTTATATGTCTTTACATAATTACTTTTACTAAAATACTCTGTTTTAGAGATTTTGAAAGCGAATTAAACGGTGCTACCTAAATACTCTTATGTACTTTTTCATTTTGTATAATAATTTCAATAAAATTAACTTTAAATGATAATTTTTCAATATATGTAAGAATAAACAAGAGATAGATCTTAGGGAGGTTATGGGGAAACGTCATGCAAATTATTATTAGAGTGGAAAAAGAGAAGAGAAAAATTATTTTTTACAAAGTCTTAGAGAAGAATTGAGTATTTGCCACAAACTCAAATTTTCTTATCCCTTTCTCTTTGCAACCAAATGGTGTAAAGCTTTTATATTTTTAACTTAGATTAATATATTTTTAAATGTTTAAGATTTACAACATTGGGTTGCAAAGATATAGTTTTTAGAAAACAATAGTTTGTGGGAAGAACTCAAATGTTTTTGTTTATAAATTAGAAAATAGAAACTTATTTAAATCCGAAAACAAGATTTTAAGAAAAAATGGAAGAAAAATTGTTCTGAAAAAGAAAGAACAAAATTGAAAAAGAAAAAATGAAAAGAGAAAAACAAATTAAGAGTCCCAAAAAATTTTTAAATGTAAAATTTATAATTTAGTTCTCTTAATTGTATCTTGAATTATTTTAGGGTCCTGTCAGCAATTATTAATTTCAATCCAAATGTGTCAAAAAAGCGACATTTGTCAAGAGTAACAATTTCAAATATATTGTACATTGTACAATCTATACATATACAATGTATAGATTACATGTTAACACCGATTTAGAAGTAATTTAATAAATTACATAAAAAGTGCAATCTTACAACCTGAAACCAAAAAAAAAGTATTTTTGGATCGCCCAACACAAATTAATGTTTGACCTTACTTAACCTTTCACTAATGTGTTTTTAATGACATTATGTTCTCTGCTGATTTTATAAACTTTTTGTCTTCCTTTTTCCGCTTGTAATTTAATATCTTCTTCTACGCTCTACAGGATAATTCTTGCTTCTAAAAGAAAAAGAAAACGTTAAAAAATTACAATTTTTGTAAATTCTATTTAATATTTCTTCAATGTTTGGATAAAAATCCCGCCAAATAAATTACGCGGGAATTCAGTAGCCACCCCCACTGAGAATTGCGCATTTTAGAAAATAAAAGTTATAATTGAGGAGGCCCCCCCCTCCTATTTGCTCTCCTAGCTTTGAACCTTTTCCCGGGGAGGGGAAAGGGGTGTGTTTATTTCAGAAAGAAACATTTATTTATTTATATTGAACAAAACATTAAGATATTTGAACATTCGAAGGTTGGAAAATATTCCATCTTTAATGTTACATAAATTAAACTTTATGTCATGTTCAACCAAGAAATACTTAGGCATTCATAATAATTTAACAATTCATTTAAAATAAATAGAAAATACACTTAAATCCATCAAAAAGAAAATACATTGTCTTCAAAAACTCGAAAAGACCTCGAATATTGTTACCGTTTTAAAAGGGGTTTAGGCATTAGAATCTTTTTCTTAAACTTATTAAGTTGTAACGAATATAAATATAACTTGGGGTCAGTAACAAGGAACAGTATAGAGCAAGGAATAGTATGGAACAAAAAACAGTATGGAACTAGGAATATTATGGAACAAGGAACAGTGTGGAGCAAGAAACGGTTTGAAACAAGGAATAGTATGGAATAAGGAATAGTATGGAACAAGGAATAGTATGGAACAAGGAACATGATTGAACAAGGAACAGTATGGAATAAGGAACAAGGAAGAGTATGGAACAAGGAAGAGTATGGAACAAGAACATAATTAAACAAGGAACAGTATGGAATAAGGAACAAGGAAGAGTATGGATTAAGGAACATAATTGAACAAGAAACAGTACGGAACTAGGAACAGTAGGATTAAGGAACAGTATGGAACTAGGGACAGTATGGAACTAGGAACAGTATGGAACTAGGGACAGTATGGACCTAGGAACAGTATGGAACAAGAAAAAGTTTGGAACTAGGAACTGTATGGAACGAGGAACTGTATAGGATCAAGGAACAACATTGAACAAGGAAGAGTATGAAATTATTTTGAATTTGACTGCCCCCATGTCTGATAAATGAAGAAGTAGAATTTAAAAAAATATGTTTAGTAGAAATGTACTAATTTAACTCATTTTGACAGTTGATCCCCTAGAGGGATATCAACACCCCCCCCCACTACCTACACAC